ACTACTACTGCTACTACGACGACTATAGCTACGACTATAAGTAATTACTGCTGCTGCTGCTGCTGCTGCTGCTGCTGCTGCTGCTGCTGCTGCTGCTGCTGCTGCTGCTACGACTCCTACCGCCACCGCCACCACCACCACTGCTGTTAGTTGCGACTGGTACTTGAAAGGCTTCTCCGTATCTTTTGCTTTATCGTGATAACTGTGCAATTGTTCCCGAATTTCTTTGTCCAAAGTGGTTAACTAGTACACACAAAGAATGTTGACATGAATTCGAGTTCCTTTCTTCCTGTTGGTGTAACGAATGCCACCCTCATCATGGACATGGCGATGCCAAGATTATGCACCAGCGAAACGATGAAGACTGCCATATAAATGATGGTCTTCGTGACGACGAATGCAGGCATTGACGGTGTTGATGTTAGCAGCTAGAATTTGATAACGGTGTTGATGCTGATGACTGCTAAGTTGACCAGGAAGACAGGCTGATGAGGATGATAATGGGCATCACGGTCATGGTCATGTTCATGGGCATGTTGCTGAGGATGGTGGTGACGATGACGACTTGTGTGGAGTTTTCTGGTTGGTTATTCCTTGTTGTAGTTCTTGGTCGTGTCAGTGTGCATACCCCCCCTGGCAATCAGCCTGGACCGATCTACACCTCTCAGAGTTCAGAGCATGTGGAACTATCAGTTGGAGGGGCAAAGTCAGCGTTGAAGGATGTTGGAGTGGGACGAAGTTCGGGACTTGGTGTTAACACTCGAACGAATCCCGGAGAGCGGACAGACTCGGAATGGCCTTTCACTTGCGACTGAAAATCACGTGGTTGAACCCACTATAGGTGCATGGCAATACCCATTTAAACTGTGATGGTCGTTGGCAAGGCAAGGCGCTTTGCAAGGTCGCGCCAACAGCCGATCAATCAGTGCTTCAGGTTCCTTCTCTCACAGTGTGCAGTTCTAGGCTCGAAAGTGCTAGGCGTCCTGCAACTATCACTTGGGCGTGCGCAGCAAGACGGGTTGTGTGCCCACGACCACGAGAGAGAGTTCTAAGGTACATACGGGTTTGCTGCACGGTCTGAAGGGCGTAGTAATGAACCCAGAGCCCCAGGAGAGGAAGCACTGTGTAGACCTCGCGGAACCTGAAACCCTAGCAACTTAAGGCTGGACCAGGTGTATACACGTATTTACATGTGTATATATATATATATATACTGTATGAATATGTGAATGTGGTGTAGGTATGGGTATAGGTATAGGTAGGTGTGTATACATGCATACACACACACAAACATATATATATATATATATACGTATACTTTACATACTTATAGAAGGGTTTGGACAACCATTGAGAGCAATACAGATGCCAGCATGGATTTCGCGTTGTAGGCGACATGGGCGCATGTGGCGGCAAACCTGCTGCCAAGCAGCAGGAAAGTCGAGAACTCCGTTTCCACGACGGACTTCATTACAGCCCACTGGATTCCAACGTCCATAGAGGGTTTCTGAGCCTTGGGTCGAATGAGCTTGATTCTCCATTCGATTTCGAGTCTCAGTTGTCGGCCGACGAGGACACACAGGACATAGTCCAGTTTTCGGCCCCGATCTTTGTGGCGGAGGAAGGCGAAGGGTTCAGTCTTAAGCTGATGCGACTGGGGTCGCTCGCTGGAACCGTCAGCTGCTATTTCCAAACGGAAGCAGGCTCTGGCAAACCTGGCGTTCGCTATGTTCACACAGAGGGGGAGGTCGTGTTCGGAGACGGGCAATTCGAGGAAAGCATCGACATTCCGATCATAGACTCGCCGGATTGGTCAGCGACCCTTGAGTTCAAGGTCGTACTAAGCAATGCCAGGGGGTGTTCCTTGGGGAAATATCTGAAGGTGTGTCGCGTCAAGGTCTTGGACTCGGATCCTTTTCCGAACAGCGACTATGCTGAGCCTGTGAAGGCGGGCCTGGATGCCATCAAGGAGATTAACCCATTACCACTCTTTGTGGACTTTTGCAGGCTGATGCTTAAGATACCAGGAAACTCGAGGCGATTTGCGGTGATCTTGCTCTGCGACCAACTTAAGAATGCGTATCTTTGGTTTCAGCTAAAAGCTTCCGTGTACACGGTGAACGTGATCTTCGGTGGAGAAGACGCCGCAGACCAACTCATCATCCCGGGAGATGCTGTGACCACTGCTAAGCTTCTCGGCTTGATGTACATAGGCCTTCCCTTGCTCTTGCACCTTTACAAAGAAGCCAAGACGCGAATGGACATTGCAGGCCATTGTAATTTCTATTTGCAGACTAGCTTGATGCGGAAATATATGAATTTCAACGACGAGTCCAGAGCAGCGGTCTCGCTTGACGCAGTTCAGAAGGTTGTGACCGAGCAAGCGCTGGATGTCTCAAACAGCCTGGACAACGTGTCGTCCATGCTAGAGACGCTCGGTCGGCTGATCATGTTAAACTATTTCGCCATTTCCAGTGACCCAGGCATGCTGTGGGCTGTTATTACAATGCCTGTGGTCATGACTTTCTGGGTGCTCCTACGCCATAGGTGGTTGACAAAGCCTGAGAAGGACCGTCCCTACAAGAAGCGAGTCAATCAGCTGGTGTGTTCCATCAGCGAGTACTACTCGCTCATTGCTGCCTACTTCCAACGGCCTGCCATGAACGAGAAGTTCGCTGCGAGTGTGGCTAAGCTCGGGGAGGTGCAAGAGCCTCTGGGAATCTACCATATGCGCACCGAGTTCTTTTTTTCTTGGCTGGGGCCTTTCTTCTCCGGCTTTTACTTGTGCTTCTATGCTCAACAAGTGATGGATGATCAGCTATCGCTGGGAACGTTTCTGGCAACCATCTCGGTTTTCAAAGAGGTTTCCTCGAATTTTGCGGATGGATATTCGGTGATGATGAGTGTGATCTCCAAGTTCGAGCCTTTAACTGATATTACACTTTTCTTGAATCGGCCAACCGATGTCCGCGACTTGAAAGAGATGGTGAATAGGCGGCTCAAGGAGACCAGCGAACAGCGGAGTCGCTTGATGCAGCTTTCGGTGCCAATCCCTCCCGGTAAGGTGCGGACTGACTTACTTCCAATTCGCTTGGAGAACGTGTCTTACAAGCTTGGGATGGACAAAGAGCTGTTCAAAAATGTAGACATATTTGTCGAGCAGGGCAAACTGATCGCTGTGGAAGGCACTCATGGATCCGGCAAGACGAAGCTGATCAGAATCTTGGCTGGTGGGATTTCTCCGACTAGTGGCGTCGTGACAATGCCCTCGCATTTGCGGTGCGTGCTGGTTACACATAATGTCGTATTGATGAATACCTCTCCTTTGCAGAACCTCTTCTTTGGTGATCCTCTCGCCTTAGCACAGACAGAAGATCGGCGGCGTGTGATGTCGATTCTGGAGAAGCTGGGGATGAACAGGACCCGAGAGCTTGCTGAGAAAGAGATTGAAATCTTGCAAGAGCCTTTGTCGGATGAGGGCGAGGTCGACACAGACGCTGGCCGTTGCGGCACGGCTGGGAAGGAAAAAAACAAGCCTACCCATTCGCCATGGATTCCGCCAGACGGTAGCAAGCGAGCGGCGTGCGTGAGGTCCGCCCTGCGTGGTTGGCAAGGTACCCTGTCCTTCCAGGAAAAGGCGAAGCTGCACATTGCACGCGCCCTGGTGGTGAATCCCGAAATCCTGATTCTTGAGAAGCCACTGATGAACTTCGATGATAAAGAATACCGCCTGGTTCAAAAGAGTCTCAGAGAGTATGTCTACAATCGAGGTGTCGCTCTTCCTGCTGAGTCCAGAGAAAGCCGAAGGCCCCGGACCTGCTTCTACAGTGCCGAGCGGGAGGATACCAGTCAGACTGACGTCGTTTGGAAATGCGACGGCGGCAGTGTGGTTGCAGAGAAACCCCCGATACAAGTTCGAGAACCCCGAACCAGTGGAAAGGACATGTCGTCTCCAAAATCGTCATTGACTCACGACATCCAGATGACCGCAGTTTAGTTACGAGTCTCACCCACAGGTTTTGAAATTGGGAGATCTCCGAGCCAGGCAGCAGTCACAGAGCTGCGCGGGCCGGGTTGCCAGAACGGGCAGGTTCTTGACACATCACAGCTTTCCGTTGCGGGTCGATATTGTTCTAGTTAGACCTACATCTTCCAGATGAGTTTCTAGTAGTGAGTAGATACGATGTGGGGTGTGCCGGGGATGCATCAATGCATCTTGCCATGAACCTGGCCGACTGGTCTATCACAAGAGTTTTGTGCATTCCCTATAGATGGTCAGTCGCGAAGCGGCAGTGGCAGCTTAAAGTGAGCGGCCAGAAGAACCAAGCGAAAGCCCTAAGACCTGCTGAGCTAGCCATGGCTGGCTGTGCGGAAGCCAGAGACCTGCCCTAACCTGTTGAAAACAAGTGCCGAGCTGCGAGAGCTGAAGCTTCTCAAACACTCATTCGTGGATTCATTCTCCCCAACCTCGCGCCAGTAGAACCTACGGGTTACGATCCCCTCCGCAAGGCCCAGGAGGCGTCCTTGCGCCTGGACGTGGCGTGCTTCAGCGCCCTGGGCTCCACCCTGCGAGCGCAGTGGCCACGAGCGCCCTTCGATCCTGTATAGTCACCGGGGCGACGGTGATAGTAGGTTATGCACTTGTAGTTGTAGTTGGGGACAGGACGCAGACGAGGGGAAGGAGCGGCAGCAGCCGTTGGGAGCAGCAGGTAGGGTCGCTGGTATTGCTGGTGCCTTGTAGTTAGGACTACGATTGTGACGGCGAGGCCAATGTTGCAGCGCTGAAAGAAGGAGCTTGTCCAGCATGGGGATGTGTAGGATCCGGACGGAAGCAGGATTTGTAGCCGACTAGCGCTTCAGAATGCCATTTTGTAGCCCATGCTAGGTTGTCGCGGTCGTTGTGCTTTTGGAGTCGTCGTACACGCTGTGGGGGTAGTAGTGGCAGCAGAAGCTCACTTGCAACAGTGGCATGCAGCATAATTCCTGCTGGATGCTGCGACGGAGGGGCTATAGGGTCACGACTCAGAACAGCTGGTTTGAGGAATTTGCTGGAGCCGTTAAACGCTTGTGCTTTCCGAGGCTGCACCAGCTGGAGGTTTGTACACTTGTAGGCCTTCGTCCTGATCAGGCAGGGCCTGGGTTTTGAGGGGTTAAGGCTTGTTGCGATGCGCTGCGGCTAAATCTCTTCAGGCTCCAATCCGGCTGTCTCGGCTTAAAAAAGGTTGACGATGTTTTGGTTCAGTGCCTTGAGGCGTGTGACAAGCTGTGGCTACATCTAGCGATCTTGCAATGAAGGCGTTTCTGAATGCTCGGCTGGGTTGACTGGAACAGGTCCGGGTTTGCATTGTTTGTTCCTGGTAGGTACATGGCTTCTGCATGTTGTAGACCAGGTTTGATCAATGGAAAAGTTGCAAGTGTGTCCATACAACAAGTGCATAGCTTGTCTGGAAGCAAGGCTATATCGTTACGCAGTGCACTGAACCCTTTAGCTTTATACGGGCCTGCTCGCTTGCCCTGATTACTGCCGCCGAAACATCGCCGCACAAAGTATTACCATCACCATCATCGTCATCACCATCATCATCATCATCATCATCATCACCATCATCATCATCATCATCACCACGATCATCATCATCATCGCCGTCGATATCACCACATAACCCCTTCATGTCAATCCTTGTTTCCGCTTCAGGTTTCTCTGAACGCTGCTGTTTCGGTGGCCAACGACTGGTACCGTTCCCTGGACCCCTCCTGCTGCAGAGATCTTTGAGTACGTTCAGGGCAGAGAGCGTTTTTCTTCAGCGCTGCTCTTCTCTTGTTGCTAAGCTGCTAAACCCTATAGACCCGTGTCCTTCAGACTTGGTCCATAGGCGCAGGAAGCAAGTAACTTGAGGATGGAGGTCTGCGCTAGGAGAGAGGTTGACATTTTGGTGGGAGGAAGTTGTTGTTCCTGTCAGGGCTTCGGGCATGTCTCACTCCCCTAAGCCGTAAGCCCTGAACACTGTGAGTATCGAAACAGCTGCAGGAGAGGGTGCCGGACTCAGAAAGACTCTGCCAACGACCGTTCGAAGGCAGCCTGTTGATAACCTACCCAAATACCCTAAGCTAAGTGCCAGGAGTTTGGAATGGCCTCACAGGCGTGCTGTCCATTCCTTCAGGGATGTGACATCGAATGGAAGGTCTCCACGGCCCGGGGTCAGACCGATCCCCGAACACCGGCCCGGGGTCAGATCGATCCCCGAACACCCACACCCTAGCCCTACAATGAGCAGAACGGTGTTACACTGCTACACGAGAGAGATGAGGGAGTTCTGGAAGTAAGATACCACTGCAATAGCATCGAACCGGCGAAGCGTTTGCTTTCAAGCACGCCAAGCCCCCATTGCGTTTAGAAGGACTTGATCCGAAGTTTTGAGATCCTCCAGTTGCAGAAGGACTTGGTTTCTGAGGCAGTAGAATTTCAGCAGATTTCAGGTATCCAGCCACTCATCCTTGTGGCCTTGAGCAGCAGTCCATCGAGCCGATTCCTAGGACACCGTTTTTGTCGTGGCTTTTGACCACGCCCTCCGCGCTTTCTATTCACGCTGATAAGTTTTCGAGGTCGTCTTGCTGCTTAGCATTCAATCGCTTCGTCGCTGATGATGGCAGTTCTGCTGTTGACGATGCTGCTGATTGCTGCTCAGGGGAGGGGGTGCTAATGATGACGATGACGGCGATGGTGATGCTGTCGAACATGAACGTTGTGATGTTGTTGTTCGTTGATAACAACCGTGGAAGCGAAGAGCATCATGGTTGTCATCAACACGATCACCCAAGCGGGTGTCAGGACATTGTTGGCTTTGGCGCAGCTGTCACAGGCTCCGCAAAGACTCGGGCTTGGCAACCTGGCAGAGTGCAGTCGGATCGGGCGCTTGCATTGCGGTGGCGGTTGTGGGGGTTTTTGTCTACAAGTCCTCCGATTCCGTTGTTGTGTTGACGATGACCGATACCGTTGTTGCCGCAGCTACCGAAACTCACTGCTGCTTTTGATCTGGTCCTCCTCGTTATACTTGCTGCTTCCATTGTGTGTGTGTTGATTGCTCGCTTCGGTGTTCAGGCCTGTGAGACTTCAAGCAGAGCATAAGTAAGCCCGACAAACGCACAGGCAGAAGTTCCACACCCGTGTGGAATCAAGAAGTCAAGAAGAGAGACACCAAGTCGAAAGACCCGCGAGCGACCAGCTCCCAAAATCCAGAACTTCGAGCATGCGCGCCCGAAACTGTAGACTTTTGGTTTTCGTACTGGATTTCACTTCTGCTGAACTGCTGATGTGCTGGTGCCAGGTCTTCCCGTTCAGGTCGCATTCAGGTCTTCAATGGAGTTTTATCCGTGTTGTTGTCCTGGTACAGTAGTGGTAGAGGAAGCAATCCGAGTTCAGTCGAACCTCCCAAACATGCAGCAGATGTCGAGGTCAGCTGGGTTGAACCTTTGTCAGGCGGGCGGGATGTGGACAGACATGCCGCCCGACCCCCTTCATGGCATCATTCTGACAACTCGCTTGCTGCCCCTATCAGCAGCACCGGAGACACTTCCGGGTTCTAGAGTTCTCTCAATCATGAGAAGCCTGGGACAGAACGCTGTCAATGTTTTTGTTGTCGTGGTTGGATAAGCCCCGAAACCACTTGCAAGTGCCCGCAGCATTGCTGCAGCACGTGTCGTAAGTGGTACCTAGTGCTTGTGACACTCAACCACAGATGCTTTCAGAATCGCTAGGGCATCGGATACCCCAGCACCACCTCCATACTGAAAGCCTCCAGGCCCGACAGAGACTGAAAGACTTTGTGCAGTGCAGGCTCTGGCGGGCCTGGGCCTTGAGACAAGCCAGACAGCAGGCCAGTCCTTCGATGATTTGTTGGGACATGCTGCTAAGAGGGTAGGGCGTCGGAACTCGTTCTTCCATGAGTTGTGGGCATTGGGTAGTTCTCCCCTGTGAGTGGCTATGGCTACTTATGCCGTTGGTGTTGCTGCTGTTGTTGACGGCGGTGGTGGTTCAGGTGTTGTTCATGCTGCTATTACCTGTCGTGGAATTATCATTGCTGCATATTTTCAGATACTGCTGGTGTGGCAGAGGGGTGGGGGCTGTGCATGGTATGGTACGGTGGTTTTGCTACTGCTGCTGCTGTTGCTCTTGGTCTTGCTCTCGGTCTTGCTCTTGTTGTTGCTGTTGCTGCTGGTGTTGTTGGCTATTTGCTTGCTTGGTTGCTTGCTGGGTTGTTTGCTTGTTTGTGTGCGTGTGTGCTTGTGGTTGATTGTTGGTTTGGTTGATTGCTTGCTTGTTTGTGATTATGTTTGATTGTTTGCTTGTGTGTTTGTTTGGTTGATCGGTTGCTTGTGTTTTTGTTTGGTTGATTGTCTGTTTGTGTGCTTGCTTGTGTGTTTGCTTGTGTGTTTGTTTGTTTGGTTGCTTGTTTGGTTGTTTGTTTGTGTCTTTGTTTGTTTGTTTGTTTGTTTGTTTGTTTGTTTGTTTGTTTGTTTGTTTGTTTGTTTGTTTGCGTGTGTGTGTGTGTGTGTATTTGTTTGTTTCTTTGTGTGAGTTTGTTTGTTTGTTTGGTGTTGCTGTTGCTGTTGCCATGGCCGTTGCCGGTGCCGGTGCCATTGCTGTCGCTGTTGCTGTTGCTGATGCTGCTTCGCTGCTGCTTCTGCTGCTGCTTCTGGTGTTGCTAGTTGTGGTTGTGATTGTGGATGTTGTTGTTGTTGTTGGTGGTGTTGGTGGTGTTGGTGTTGTTGGTGTTGTTGGTGTTGTTGTTGTTGTTGTTGGTGTTGGTGGTGTTGGTGGTGTTGGTGTTGTTGGTGTTGTTGGTGTTGTTGTTGTTGTTGTTGTTGTTGTTGTTGGTGTTGGTGTTGGTGTTGGTGTTGTTGTTGTTGGTGTTGTTGTTGTTGTTGTTGTTGTTGTTGTTGTTGTTGGTGTTGTTGTTGTTGTTGATGTTGTTGTTGTTGTTGTTGTTGTTGTTGTTGTTGTTGTTGTTGTTGTTTGT